AGTCCTCATGAACTGGAAAAATAAAAATAATCTTAATTCTAACCAATATAGAAATTATCTATTAGATTACATTAGTCTTGATACAGCCTCTGCCACCACATCAGATCAATTGCTCTGGGCTCCTTTGATCAGCTCCATCACCTAGTGGGGGTGGGGGGTCATAGTTTGGTCCCGCCCTCACTGTTGTGATTGGTGTGGGGGTAGGGACAGGCTTAGGGCGTCGGGGGGTTCCCTGGAGGCATCTTCCTTGGGGGGCTCAACCCGGGGTAGCGGTCATGTCCGGGTGGGGGCTCTTTTGGCTCTCGGGTGACTGTTTCCTCGTGGCTGCGTGCAGCGGGGCTAGGGGAGGGTCTGTGCTGACGGACGTGGGTTACTGACCTGGTAGCCTGTCTGCCCCTGGGTGGGTCCGGGATGGGCGTGAGGTTCTGGGGGCGCTCCGTCTCTGGGCTGGGGCCCTGGCCGGGCCTCGGGGCCTCGGGTCCTGGTTTGTGTGTTGCCGGGGTTGTGGGCGGGTGGGTGCATGGGGGCCCATCCCTGGCGCAGGGTGCCGCCAGTGCGTCGAGCCACCTGGGGGGCTCTTCAACTGGTGGGGGAGATTGTCACACCTTGCAGGAGCTTTCCTCTCCTCAGGAGCTCCCTCTGCAGGAGGGGGAGATACAGGAGAGGTGGAGAAAGATCTCAGCCTGGGCATCTATTGTCTCATGTAGTCTGGAAGATGAGTGGATGGTGGGGTGGTGCAGTTTTCTCTGTGGTGGGGTTGGGTGGACTGTCCCGGGCTCTGTGGGGCCGGGGGGCGCTGCTGCGCTGGGCCCCGGTCTGGATGGGCCTGGGCCCCCTTTCCCTGGCGGGTCGCGGAGTATGGGAGTGCCTACTGGGGTCAGCGGGGGAGCTGGCCCCAGGGAGGGGTAACCTGCCCCTCCCTTCCTTCCCTCCCCATCTCCAGCTGCCTCCCTCTTCCCGCTCCACCACAACCACCCACACATGCAGGGCCTTGGAGTAGGGGTATGTCACCAGGGTGCAGAGGAGGCTACCCCCGTCCCCCCCCGTCCCCTTCTGGCTGCCACTGCCTCAATTTTATCCCACAACTTAGACATTCACATTACTCACACTCTCATTACACATACATATAGGATCTTAGGGGTGGGCACGATACACGGAGTCCAAATTACCATCAGGGTGTACACCTCACCCCTGGCGTCGTTGCCCACCTCTCAATTTTGAATACACGTAGACATTGAGGGCTAGCAGGAGGGACTATGCGCTTACCTGCTGCTCTCTGGCAGGTAGCTCCATGCCCTCCTGGGTTTTAATTGCACCTTAGAACACACATGCATCAACACTACAATGAGCGGGTGGAGGGAGGTTTGGAGTCTTCTCTCACCTCCCTTCTCTGCGGCCTGCTGGAGCGGGGGGGCTAGGAGGAGTTGGCCGTCCGACTGCGGTCTGGAGTGTGGGGCCTCCCTGCTGCTGCGGAGTCGGGGCGGTCTGCCTCTCCCCACCGCAGGGAAAAGGGTAACACCACCTGGGTCTGGGTGCGGTTCCCCCCTCCAGGGGCAAGGGTACCTAGACCCGGTTCGTAGAGTACGCTTGGGGAGTGTGATCGTGTGTACAGCGTCTCTTTATGTCTGTCTCCACGTTGGTTGAGTGTGGAGTAAGTGCATATGAGAGCATGAGGGTGGGAATGGATGTTTGTATCTGTGTGTGCCTGTATGTCTGTGTCTATATGTCAGGTTGGGTATCAGACGCCACCTCTCTGGGGACATGTCAGGCCCTCCAAGGTATGGAGGCCTATCTCCACCCACCACCACTTCCCCTGCCAGTGGCAGACTCCCTCAGGTGTCGGTGCGTTGGTGGTTCTTTGTGTCTGGGGGTGGGCGTCCGGGTACACACCGGCTCACTCCTTGGCGGCCGCTTATCGGGGCCTGGAGCCTGGGGCTCGCTGGGGCCACTTCAGAGGTGGGGTGCCCCCGGCCTCTCGGCCTGGGGCTCGGTCACTCAGGCACAGCTGGCTGCCGGCGGAGCTCACGGGCGCGTCACTGCAACTCCCCCTGGCTTCTGCTCCGCGGCTGCTGAGTGAGCCCTCATCTGGGACTCTCCTCAGCTCTTACTGGGACAGTGGCACGGCTGCCCCTCTGTTGGTCTTCCTTGGTCTCTTGTGTTCTGGGGGCCTCTGGATGTCTGGAGTTTTGATCTCCTCCATGCCTGCTTCATACCCTGGGGGACGGGGCTGTGGCCCCCCCCACACTCCTTAGCAGATCGTTACATGGAGAAACCTTTGGAATGCAAGCATGCTGATCCACACAGGTATGCACACAGGTGTACACACGGGTATTCACAGACGCGGACTACAGCTTTCTTGACTGCTGCCTCAAAGCACATTGTGCGCTGTCTATCTTGCGTGCTGCACAATATCGTTTATTATTTAGTATCTACTGATATCTACTGCTAGCTAGTTTATTGTGATGGTGCCGTTTTTTTTATTATGTTGCTCTTTGTTGTTTGCTTTCTCTTCTGTTTTTTTTCTCCATACAGGTGACCCAGGTGTTTGTTTTTTTTCTTTCTTCCCCCCCTTCTCACCGTCTCTTCTCCCCTTTGGTTTTCTTTCTCTCCCTCTCTTTCTTTCATTCTTTCTCCCTGTCCTATCCCCCAGTCATGTCTGTCCCGTTTGTAGCAACTGAAAATAAAATAAATTCATAATTATAATAAAGGTCAATCAAATGGACCAATATGGCAAGGCCATGATGATCCACTTGGTAAAATAAATCCGCTTGGCATCTTTCTTGGCCTTAAGACAACAATTCTGATGGCTAAAGATTCAAACGGGACACAAAAAAAAGAAAAAAAAATAATTAAATGATGAACAAATAATTTTGTTGTAAATGTGTAAAGGAGGACCCCCCACACAGCGGTTAGCAGCTTCACTGTCTATTTACAGTGTATGTGTTTCTTTATGTTTATGTTCGAGTCACTTTTCTGTGCTCTCTCAACTCAGCCGTCTTCTCCACATTTGTTGTTAGGGTGGATAATCACTAGACATTAGGTACTGCTTCGGAACCCATTATTAAGATTAAAATTTATTTGCACATTTATTCACAAATCTAAAACAGTTTAAACTGTAACTATGTTGTTGAAGTGGGAGATTCACTGATGTCACAGAAAGGTATGATTCAGAGATGACTCAAATGTTATACCTGTAGGGGGTCAGCCTGCTGGGAGAGGTCGCCCAGAACAAATGTGAAGGTGGTTTACGGCTGGGACGTTTGTTCTGCTTTACCTTTTTTCTACAGTATGCAGCAATATACAAATAGGACCATACTTACCTGATCAGTGGGTCATAGTGAGTTACTGGTCCCTATGATAACTTATTTTTTTGGCTCACTCCAACCTGGAGTCCCTCTCTAAAACATTCAAAAGATGTGGAGATAACATTAGCGAGGAGGGTTGTAATTGTAGTGTTGATAAGTAACCCAGGATGCAAATGTTAGGGAATAAAGGGATCAGGCCAGTATGTGTGATAAATGGCACTCCGAAAGTGCTGACAGGAGTGCAGTGCCAGATAGCACGCTAACAGCTGTCTGTAGTTTTCTGTGTGCAGTGTGTCCATGTGTGAGATTCCCTGAATCCTAGATTATGCAGTTTTTCACCTGTGGAGCCTATTCTGTGGATAACTGTATACATGATATACTGAGTCTATATCACCAATCGTTCATGTTTAAATTGGTCCTAACATGTAACCCTGTGGAACTCCATAATTAACCTTAGTGTGTGAAGAGGACTCTCTATTTACATGAACAAATTGGAGTCTGTTAGAAAGATATGATACAACCCACTGCAGCGTAGCACCTGCAATACCTACAGCATGCTATAATCGCTCTATTAGGATATTATGGTTGTTAGGTTTAATGTATGTGTTGTAGGGTGCCATTTAAAAAGCTATGAGTATGTGCACGACCTCCAAAAAGGGAACAAGCAGCCTTGAGAAGAACAGACTCTACTCAATGAAGGAAGCCACCTGGCAGGACAAGATACCGACAACATGTAAGGGCTGCACTCACATCACATAACCACTCTTGCACAACACAATTTGTAACCATATATAGTAATTTCTCTTAGTTAACACAGCAACATGCTTTATGAATATTCATGTGTGTAAACAATAAAAAAAAAACCTGCAGAAGGAAGGAAGTTGAAGTGGGCTGGAGACAACTGCTTCCCTCTCGCGAGTGAAAACTTAAGCTCTGTGTGACCTCGTTCCTGAGTGAGTTTCTGTTTATTCAGCAGTATCAGGGGTAAAACTCTGACAATGGTCAACAGTACTGAACGCGGCACTGAGGTTTAGCAGGACAAGCACAGAGATGAGTCCACTGTCAGCGACCATAAGAAGATCATTTGCAACCGTCAATAAAGCTGTTTCTGTGCTGTAATGAGCTCTGAAACCTGACTGAAACTCTTCAAATAAACCATTCTTCTGCAGATGATCTGTTAGCTGTTTAACAACTGTCCACATGGCACAAGCAGTAGTCTGACATAAGACCCTAATCCCAAAACCTCAGTGGGTCTGCCTCGGCAAGCAGGGATCAGGGAATGATGCTAACTGTATTACATAGCTATATTGTCATTGTCTATGGCTACTCATTAAGAAAAGGTTTGTAAGGCACATTGGGGAGCGATGTGAACTATTGGTCATATATGCTCATCAACCACTTGTTAGGTACAGAAAAACTGAACTAAACTGAGATGTAAAATTAAAATGAAGTATTCCAAGTTGAACAATACTATTTACAGCATAGACAAGATATTACAGGTAAAAAACAGTTCATGAGCCATAAGGACGAGTTTTAAAGTTTAATCCACCACAGGTGATTTTTCCTCCACGCCCACAATGAACCATTTATTAGATAGAGCTGTTCAGTGTGGGTGTCGAGAAAAATGATAAGTGTTAGCAATAATGAAACAAAGACACGAGAGGCTGAGAGAAAGATACTGTCAAATGTTTAATCCATTCAGTACAGGCTGTTTATCTCAGTGCAAGTGCCAAAAACAACAATATGAAGCCGTGTTTGGTTTATGTACACATGTGATGTTTGGCCGTGAGAAGCAGAGCGGTTCGAAGACAACAAACTGAAAACAATCGAACAAACAGCAGCAGAGAAACAAAAATAAACTGGACCCTTGGACAGACCGACTGAAAGGTAACACAGAGAGACAACCGTCGTTTTTCTTCATTTCAATCACCCACAAACACAAGTCAATGAGCAAAATTAATGGTATATATATTTATATTTATATATCTAAAGTGCATTACGGTACAAAAATATAGAAGGTCAGCAGCACCTTGATACATTTACCAAATAAATACACCATTCAGACAAAATAAATTAATGCAAAAAACTGAACATAATTGGAATTTAAAAAAGGGAAAAGCAAGGATTCACAAAGAGTAAAATCTGTCGCCCTGCGGAGCGTCAATAAGGTTTATTTTCTTATCATATTCTGCTATCTACTCTGCTATATTTAGAATATTTACACATAATAAATATTTTCCAATTTCTTTCCAAACAATCACAGTTACAGAGTCTGTAATGTGAGCATTTAGGAGTCCACTCCAACCGTCCGAAGGTTTCTGCAACACAGAGACGGAGAAAAACAGGTGAATCAGGGTGAATTACAGAGCTCTAACTGTCCGCCCTATTTTTCAGACATCATCATCTCAGCTCCACAACACTGACACAGCACAGAGTCAGTGCACTGCTGCACTCTGCAGTATCTGCGGCTGTAACGCGGCACACGCGTGTTCTGAAAACTCTCTAATCATGTGATCATGTTCTGAAAACCAGGTCAGCTGTTTGGACTCACCTTCGTCAGAGACTGACGACGTTTTAATGCAGCGCCCTCTGGAGGCCGAGCAGAGACCTCCACTCCAGGTGGAGTCCGCTACCCAGTTCATCCTCCAGCCTCCACCCCAAAGAGCGTGCCCTCCTCTTCCTCTTTTCCCCTTCCCTCCTCTTCCCAGCCCTCGATTTCTTCTTCTTTTTGCCCGACACTTTATTCACGCCGTCTTTGTATGTCTGCGACTTGTTGGTCTCCTGTGGCAGGTTGGTGCCCTCCTCCTCCTCCAACCGGAAGCTGATGGGGAGGTTCTTGGTGCCTCCGGGGGGTTTGGAGTGCAGGGTGCTGCCGGTGGTGCTGAGGTTGATTCCCAGGCCGCCCCCCGGCATCCTGACTCCGGCGTCGCTGCTGCTCCCGCCTCCCCCTGTGGTCCGCATGGGGAGGTCACGGATCTCTGCCGTGTGGACTTCGTCCAAAAGCGCCTTCAGGAGTAAAACACGCTCATGTTCCATCATCATCCGGCCTTTGTCGTGCATCAGCTGAGCGTGACTCACCGAGCGTTTCCTGAACAGAAGAAAGAAAGAAGGTTTGTTTACATGAAGCTTTTCAATCAAACAAAAACAACAACGCCCTTTTAAATGTTTCAGAGCTCATGTCTGCAGGTTTCTCCTTAAATAAAAACACCCTGTGACTCTGGCTGGAATCAAAAGTGTTACCATCTACACCACAGGAAGCACTTCAAACTGAACCGTGCAAAATAAAATAATATTTTTATTGTTGAAAAATTTGGTCTAATATTTGTTTTTACAGGCTTATTGACGAAGCTAAACACATGTGCATTATTTTGGGTTGCTCCCTGTTGTCCACATACTTTTGGCATTTTAGTGTTGACCTGACTGACCAGCAGAGGGCAGCACAGGCAAACAGTTTGAAATGGAGCAGCCGGAGAAACTGTATCCTTCTTCTCCTTTATAAATTCGACGGCATTTCTTGAGCACAGGTTTCGCTGCTGTCTTTCCTCTCCAGTTGTTTTTGGACAGCGCTGTTGCATCCATGCAGAGAAATGACCTGATTCATCAAACCACAGCCGTGCCGTTGCTTTCCAAGCCTTTTAAAAGTGATACAGAAGATCCCCGCCCTGCGAGGAGGTCCAGGAGGGTTTTCTCTCCTTTTAGATGAACATGAGCGCAGCCAACGCTTTCACTCTTCATCAGCGTGAATGTTAACCGGCACATTCGTGGCACTCAGACCCTTGAGGGATTACAAAAACTGCTGCCACAAACACTTCGTGCCAATTAAATGTGGTGGAGGAAAAAGAAAAAAAAAAGCTGCTGTGATTCTGAAATGAAGCTGCACATTCCTCCACACTGAAAAAGTGAGTCATAATAAATCTATCGACTCTGATTTTAGCTGAAAACCCATCGGAGGAGTTCAGTCAGCAATAACACCATGAGAGTTACGATCGTTTAGTGTCAACTGCAGCAGCGCCACAGTTAAAACTCCACAGTTTGAAGAATGAAGGCCTAAAAAATGAAGCTGGAGTTCCTCTGACGTCCAGCAGAGGCTCCAGCAGTGAGTTTACAGCCTAACACGGTGTGTCCGTGGATAATTTCCTCCTTCATAACACCTGTACCAGGGAGCACATATTTAAAACTCACCCGTTTAACATCTTAAAACATCTTAACCTTAAAATTTGATCCATCTTATTTTTTTAACAAGCAGTTTCATGCTGGTTTAGTCAAACCACCAACTTGCTGAATCCAAGCAGAGCCTATACAATTTCACCTCCACAACACTAGTTAAGTTTCTCTCCTAAAGTTCATCCACTTTTTTCAAGACGAATCACAGTGATGGCGGGCTGCTGTGACGCAACACGGGGTAACAGCTGATTTAGGTTTACAAGTTGACTGACATCAGGATTCTTGCTTTCCATGGTGCGTAAGGGTAGATGGACCTGTTTCCACTCAGCTGATCATCATACCACTCGAAGACAGACACACACACACACACACACACACACACACACACACACACACACACACACACACACACACACACACACACACATTCATGCAGCGCTTTTATCTATGACTCTTGCTTTCTCTTGTTTTGCCCCTCAGGTTTTTGACCTCACATCCACTGCAGCATCTCCCGTGAGCTCCATGCAGGGCTATGCTGACACGTGTGAGTCCTTATACTGAGGCTATGATAATTACTCTTCATACTGATGCACTGACTTGTATTCTCTCACTGATTCAAAAACTCTGGCAAAGAATCTGTTACAGCAACGTAGAGTTAGAGTTACACGGTGACGCAGGTTAGGTTACCTGCGGTCTCAGTTCGAGGATGGATCCCCTGTTACAGCACAGAGGTATAATCTCAAAAATGCTGAAACTTGTTAAGTTTTACAAATCAAAGATCTACAAAGCTTTGAGGGATTCAGGCTTCGCCGCAATGTTGCTTTACTGTGAGTCTCTGAGACTAACAGAGCAGCGGACACAGGTCGAAGGCTGCACACTGCTGAGCGCCAACGCCGCCCAGACACTTCAGGTGTGTGAGCACACAAACAGCTTTAGCAGGAGATACCGGAGGTTCCCGTGATGCCCTCCTCCACCCCCTGCTTCATACAGCAAACTGAGTAAGTGAAGCCTGATGACTGAGCTGCCGCTTCTCATTCAGCTTTTCCTGCTGAATAATAAAAATATCCAGAGCAGAACACACAGGCGGCCTCAACAGCAGCTTGTGTTTATATGCATACAGATATTTCCTGTAAATCGCCGCCTTTGAAAGCCGATCTGGTTCTGTTTTACCTTTAATAACAGTCACATCAAACACTCCACAGAGAGGAGGAGGAGCGGGAAAACAGGCCGGGACATCCTGCAGTGGCAGCGTTCCAGCGCCCCCCGTCCTCAGCCTGCCGGCTCTTAATTGTTTCTCTCTGTGGGAGACGAGTGAAAGACGAGTGTTTCCTAAAGGCAGCGGCGAGTGGTTAGAGATGATTCACGGCCCTGATGGCTGACAGTACCGGGCGGCTCTGATTCTGATGAATGTTTCTGATGTTACGGCCCCTTTTAAAAGAAATTTACAACTTTTTTTTGTCCGGCAAACAAAACACTAGAATTATTCCTGCATTAGCCCAAAACAACCACACCACAAGACACCCAGAAAAAAATGAAGAATACCACAAAATCCTGACAGTCATTGTTATTATTATTATTATCATTATTTTTATTATTATGATTGTTATTGGCTCCAGATTTAAAGGGACTTTTTTAAATCACTCGCTGCAGATTTTAACTAAAACTTTCACCACTAGGGGGCAGCGCTAGCTGAGACATGTGCTCCCTTTTTAGTCGCGCTCTGGCTTCACCAATAGTTTTTGCTTTTACTCGGTGACCAATTTAACAGTTAAAGTTTAAATTTAATCACGGCGCCATCTCCTGATTCAAAACAGTATTACAAGAAAGAAAAGCTCCGGTTTGACTTTGTTAATATCTCTAAAATCAACAAATGCTTTGGACATAAAGTCAGTGCAGTCGAGAGGTCATTATGTTGACCCGGTGATGTAAAAACAAAATAGTATTAAGTTTTAAAAATTTGAAATACCTTTAAACAAATTAATGTGCAATCATTCATTTGTTAACTTGTAACTCCTTAACAGAAAAAATGAGACCTATCTTTCATAAAACTGCTTCATGAATACCAAAAGTTCACGTTTGACAGCCTGAGAAGCACAAATTAAAAATGAAAAACCATGAAAATTTTTTTTTTTTTCTGTGAAGGTTCTCAGTCATCCAGGTCATCGTAGTCAAAGGAGCTTGCAAAGAAAACCGTCTCCACTTATTTTTTTAATATTAAAGAAAACATACTGAACTACAATTGAGTCTACGGAAAACAGGGTCAGAGGTCAATAGCTCCCACCGCTGGCTGATTTTTGATCCCTTCACTGCGCTCTTGTTTTTCTTTCCACCCAGGTAGCGTGAACCCCGTCCCCCCAAAAATCCCATTAGGTACATATCACACACGGCAAGGGAAACGTCTGGAGTCCGTTAAGGAAAACCCGGAGCTCTGAATCACTCCGCTCTCCTCCTCCTCCTTCAGCGTCGGCTCAGAGCATCCTCCCAACGCTTACATCCAAAAACCATCTCAGCGATATGATCTTTCCAAAGTGGAAAAAAAGCTCCTGAAGTGTGTTTAAAATTCTGACCGAGCAGCGTGAAGGAGCATTTATTCTGCTTGGCATCAAACAGCTGAGCAGGTTTGGTTTGGTCCCAAGCCGAGCCGAACATCAGCATTATTCATCCAACTCACTCCCAAACAGCGAGGGAGGTCGGAGGGGTTTATCGCACCGAGATGGTCTCTGCTCTGGGTAAACATACAGGTGGGCGAAGGCTAACTAAACACAAACGAGCACATTTTCCAGCCTGCAGCTCACCCACCATGATGAGGCGAGCTGCTGGACACACATGAAAAGACTCAAAAATGAAATCCAGACTTACATTCTGCTGCTCAGGGCATCAATCGGCCGTCCAAAGTGCGGCACCGGAGAGCAGAGCAAGAAGACAGCAAAGCACCACTGCTGCAGGACCGTCCTGGAGAAGAACATTATTTCTGCAAAGAGAAGAAACAAGAAAGTCATCTCTCTTATTTCACCAAACAGTAGTTTAACCCAAACACGAGAAGAAAAGTTCACAGGAAACTTACATTCCCACAGCAGCACAGAAACAGAAAACACAGAAAACGAGTCCTTTCTCAAACTGTCTCAGGAGAAAATCCAGGTGATGACACCTTTAGGGGGGGAAAAGCAATCCCAACAAGTCAAAACTCATCCAGCAGCTCCTCTTTGGTTTGTTCCCAGTTTAAAGCCTCCTCATAGAGTGAGCAGGGAGGTCATCCAGCTGCAGCTACAGCGGTTAAAGGTGAACCCGACTGCAGTGCTGCAGGTCGCTCTGATGGGAGCATTTGTTGCATGCTGCCTGAGAGCTGCTGCAGGTCAGAGACGGGAAAGGGGAGGACTTGTTAACAGAGAGGAGGACCTCCTCACGCCTCCTTCAGGGAGGGGAGCAGAGGAGGAAACATGGCAGGAAGGTGGCGCTCAAGCAGCAACAAAAGCAAGAACCACAGCTGGATCTACGGAGGTCAGTTAGTGCCAACAGCACAGAGTCTGAGGCCACAGACGGCAGCACATACTTACTAAAGTCAGTCATTACTGCAGCTGCATGTCAGCCTTTCACACTGTCACTGCACAGTTATCAAGGTCTAAATCATCACAACAAGGATATTGTTGTGATGTAAAAAACATGAATGACATTTAAACACATTTTTAAAGCAACTTTTTATAACTTCAGACACTAGTGTATATATTCTGTGTCTAATGTAAGCTAATGTGTTGCACACTGAGAAAATAGCATCACACCTTTTGGATTTTAGTGGAAAATCAGCCCACACCCTACTCTGCATCATTTAATCACTAAATGATTAATTTTTTTAATTAAATAATAAAAAAAATCATGTCAACCCCTCACAAAGCTCTTAATATCACCCGGTTTTCTGTATGACATCATAGCAGGAATATCTTTGTTAGGCCATGAGAGGCACATGAGCCCACCACATGTTCTTCAAACCCTCCACATGTGAGGGGCAGCCAGTCAGAAAAACTTAAAGCAGAACATGTATTTTTTTTATTTCTTTTCTTCAGTGCTGATCACAGCTCGACTGTAATTCATTTTTAAATCTCAATATTCAGTTCAGTAAAACCAAAGGTGAAGTCTGTGATATCAGGCGATGGCAGCGTCGCTGCGTCTAAACTTGGTGATGGTTTATGAGCGATCCACTCTGACAGCGGGTGTCAGCAGCGACCGTGAGCCATCACTGGCCTTTAGACTCGAGGAGTTAGGTGGTTTGTCTCAGGTACGATGCCTCTGAGGACAAAATCGAAGGAGGGTGATGAGGTCTGGCAGGTTCAGCCCTTACCTGTCAGTGCAGCGAGGACGTGCACAGAAAACAAATCACGTGTATCAACACACTGCAGATCAGGACATTTTGAAACTATGAAGAAAGTCGAGCGGTCCATTATTGTTTCATATTGTTGTGAGTGAGACGCTATAGAGTCTCCGTTAACAAGTATGCAAAACTGTACTTTCATCTATCTTAATTTGCAAATGGGATGTAATTAAATTATATACATTTTGATAACATTTCACTGTAAAGTTCATTAACTTTTAATTCTAATATTTCATGGGCTGACTTGTTCTTAAGAGTAGAAAAGGGAAGTTTAACAACCTTAAAGTTACGTAAAATAAAGATAAAAATCCTGGAAAAGTTCAGATTCATCTGTATCTAGTGTAGCTCTGCATTAGCTCCATACGCCGAGCTTACATAAGAGCGATGACAGTCTTGGTGGTCTGAGGCTGTTTGATCCTCACACATGAGGAATGTTTCCAGCTGAGTCGTATTTAACGTGATTAGATCAGATTAGATCAGATTCCTGTAATCAGGTGTAGAGATCAACGTGTGGGGACGGAGCTGCTGACAGAAATGATTCAGTTTAATTACAACAGATCAGATTTATAAGTCGGGAGAAACCTAACATGCAAATATGAGACTTACACTCTGGAAACAATACACTTCTGTATTTTAAAGCCTACTGAAGCAGCTGGTTTCCATCATGATGCTAAAAAAAATACTCATAGTAAATCCATGGATAGACTGTATGTGAAAGATGGACATAGCCACCTAGCAGTTTCTAGACTCCATTTCGAAGCGTCACCAAGGTTAACAATAAAGGAGCCACAGAGGATTTCTACCCAGGAAACAGTGAGTACACTTTCCATAATGTTAGGCTACAGTGAACTCACGACCCCTGGTTTACAAGACCAGTGCTCTAACCCCTGAGCTATGCAGCCTGGTATGCAAGGTGAAGCTCCACCCACCACACCTGGCCAGCACTCAGGTGAGAGGCCTTCTAAGATTTTCGGACATGCAAAAGAGCTAAAGCAACACAAGAGTGAAGTTTAAACTGATGTTTCAAAATACATGTCCCACATATGAGATTATTATTATTATTAACAACTTAAGTTAGTTGAATTAGAGTTTTTCTTTTTTTTGTGATTTTTAGACATTATGACCTCATTAAGCTAGTCTGAGAATTGGCTACACTGCCACTCAAGCTCTAACAACAACCTTTAAGACAAGCCATTAAAACTGTTAATATTTGTGACATATTAGCAATTTCAAATCTGATGAGCCAAAATGAAGCAATGAATTTTGAATTCTATTGAAGGTTTGGCAGAGGAGTTACAGCTAAAACACGCGGCACGTCATCCTGAAAGCAGAAGAAATTTTTTATAGTTTGTGGATTGAACGGCATATTTGTTTAAAACAGCTTTGAGTAACGATGTCTTGCAAAAGCACCGGATTTACATGTTTTATTTAATTTTGTCTGAGAAATGTGCATAACACACCTGATGTAAGCTGAATTTATACTTTTAACTGCTGCTTTTTAAAAAAATAAAATCATTTAATCTATGAAATACATTAACAGTGCAGTTTTTCAGTGAAACACATCAATGTTCTGATCGCTGAGAAAACTAACAGACCTGTTTTACTCAGTATGTAAACATTAGATGATCAGAATACAAATCTATACATCAACCTTCTGGCTTCAAGTGGAGCCCCCAAGTTTCCTAAGTTAACCCCCACATATGTGAGAGCAAACAAGAGTAAGTCAGACAATCACGGCGGGCAGCAGCGCCATCGCCCTACCCTGCTCTGACTGACACTCGTTGAAATATCAGCAATGTGTTCCAGCTGTCGCTTCCCACAATTAAGACCAGATCTCACAGAAAAACGCAGCCCAGTGCACACTCAGCGGGTCTTATCTCTGTGGCGGGGAAATCACTGGTGGGAAAAAATGTTTACTCGAGCATGTGGCATCAACTTTTCGCATGTTTGAAGCTGAGATTTATGTGGAATTGTACAAGTTTTTCTAACCCAGCGCCATGGAAACGCTAGGTTCGAAGCATGATTAGAAACAATAGACAGGAGATTGATGTTACTGACGTTTCAGCCAACTGACGTCTGAGTGCACACAAACATTTCTTGGCTTTCTCTTCAGGAATGTTAGCACCGATTCCCAAACAGGAGTTCCACTTAGATATAATTACAGTTTATAAATTATCCTTCATTGTAGCATGAATCCACCAACAGCATCAAAACCACATGATCTACACTACTGTGCAAAAGTCTTAAGCCACCCCTCATTTCTTTTTATTTCTTTGAGCCAGACTTTGTGTATTTCATTTTTTTTTCTTTAGCATTACTTCCCCAGGCTTTCACAGTTCTTCTTTGGACTCTGGCTGCTTTTCGACTCATTTCAAGTCCAGTCCTTGTACTGACCATTTTCAGAGGAATTATTTTTTTTGTTGTTGTTGTTAAGCCCATTAACTCTGACCTATGGCTAATTCAAGCATAAAAAGACTCCTAACTAAAGGGATAAACCAGTGTTGTGTCTACATAGCACAGACAACTAAGCAGAGAACAGATTTAAAATTGTATCTTGAGGCTCGTTGTTACTAGCATCAGAAAAACACAGTGTTTCTTCCCATTTCTGTAGCCGAATCTGTGAAAAATGCCAACGATAACACAGTTTGACATAAAATTGTATTTTTGCATAAACAAGGTGATTCCCAAAGAGCTGTTAGCTAAAAACCTAGCATATCTCAGCACAGTGGGAAGTGTCAGTTAAAAAAGGGAGGAAACTGGACAAGTGAAGGACAAAAAAAAGAATGTGAGGCCTAAAAGACTTTCTACAGCAGATGAAAGATATCTGAAAGTCTTGTCAATAAGAAAGAGGAGAACATCCAGATAAGATCTCAGAGATGCATTTGGACCATCAGCTGATCAATCCATGTGTGAGAGGTATAATAGTGAGTTCTCTAAAGTCGACATCCAAACTGCATGAAGCCACTGTGATAAAACACAAGGGTTTCTAAGCTTCATTTTCACATCTCAATGTTAGCATTTTAGCCTCCACTAGATTGTTTTTTGGAGACAGAAGCGTCCATGCTGACCTGTTTACAGATGGCCTAATACTTGACAGTGTTCAGGCTCTCTGCACAACAAACACCTCACTGAGCATGTGCCAGAAAAGTAAATGGATGCTGGTTTCTGTAACTCCTGATGTTTGTCCTGCACTCCTTCTTCCTCCTTCTCTCTTAGATGTTTCTTCTCTTGTCCAGCCAAACAGATATGAATAAATAAAGCTAAAACATCCTAGCTGGACCCTCCTTGAGTTACATGCAGACTCTGTCTTGGCTGGCTGTCTGTATTTAAAGAGCTGGACCTGGGTTTATGTTGGGACAGCTTTAATCAGTGTACCAGCTAACCCGAGCCTTCATCAGCTCCTCTAAGCATAAAGAGCAGCATGAAAGGTGAAGATTAGCCCACTGTGCGCTCTGAAAATGTTTAGCTAACATTACTGACAGCCTCCTGGAGTTTCAGAAGAGCTGCGCTCCTCCTTCATGCACATATAGATATTTATCAGGGCTTCCCTGCAGCACGGACTCTGAGTCTAAGGCAACTGGTGCAGTTGAGTCAGGCTGTGTTTTCAATTTACCCAATTATCTCAAACATTTTGGCTTGGCGACTGTGGTCTATTGATGCGTCCTTGATTTTTACCCAGAAATAGCAGCTTCACTGTAAAGGTCACTGTATGAACATGAGAAGCACACAATGAACACATTATTTGTTAAACCTGCAGGCTGCCAACATGAGCCCTGGACGCGGTGATGCAACAGAGCTTTCTGCTGCGCTTTTCATTCATTAGTGATCATAAACAGAATCCATTGTTCCCTCCCCAGTCACTGCTCGCAGTATAAAACAAGTCAACATTTGATGGTGAATGATTAATGCCAGAGGGAATCAGGGGAGTCGTTTTCCCCACAGTTTGTCTGCAAATTAGTCGAGTTCC